GGTATCAATATTGTGAGAGGGTGGTAAAACTAATACCCAAATTTTACTAAAGCAATAGTAGTAAGGGGCATTTATTCATGAGTCTCATTTTTAATACTTGTAGACGGTGCCTCTATTTACACACCATACTTTATCTCAAGGCAAACCACTTCTAAAAGCACACCTTTAGTAATTTAGTAAATATATATTTTGCTCATCACACACCACAAATTTACATATTTATCCTTACTCTCACACACACCCACAACAACATCCACACACAAACTCCCATATTTGCCCTCACTCACTCACACATCCCCACACACCCACCTTCGTCCATCTTCCCCCCTCCATTCTCAAATTCAACCGGTGAACTGTGTGTTACACTGTGTTGGTGCTCAACACAGGCAGTGGTGAAGACGTCGTTGGTGCTCAAGTAAAGCAGCAGGTGAGTTCTCATTTCGCTTAGATTTTAGGGTTTTATGAATTTGTTACCATTGCCATGAATGAATCAGTTCCAAACCGTTCGACACTGTAATTTCGAACGCCATTCGACACTGTAATTTCGAACGCCATTCGACACTGTAATTTCGAACGCCATTCGACACTGTAATTTCGAACGCCATTCGACACTGTAATTTCGAACGCCATTCGACACTGTAATTTCGAACGCCATTCGACACTGTAATTTCGAACGCCATTCGACACTGTAATTTCGAACGCCATTCGACACTGTAATTTCGAACGCCATTCGACACTGTAATTTCGAACGCCATTCGACACTGTAATTTCGAACGCCATTCGACACTGTAATTTCGAACGCCATTCGACACTGTAATTTCGAACGCCATTCGACACTGTAATTTCGAACGCCATTCGACACTGTAATTTCGAACGCCATTCGACACTGTAATTTCGAACGCCATTCGACACTGTAATTTCGAACGCCATTCGACACTGTAATTTCGAACGCCATTCGACACTGTAATTTCGAACGCCATTCGACACTGTAATTTCGAACGCCATTCGACACTGTAATTTCGAACGCCATTCGACACTGTAATTTCGAACGCCATTCGACACTGTAATTTCGAACGCCATTCGACACTGTAATTTCGAACGCCATTCGACACTGTAATTTCGAACGCCATTCGACACTGTAATTTCGAACGCCATTCGACACTGTAATTTCGAACGCCATTCGACACTGTAATTTCGAACGCCATTCGACACTGTAATTTCGAACGCCATTCGACACTGTAATTTCGAACGCCATTCGACACTGTAATTTCGAACGCCATTCGACACTGTAATTTCGAACGCCATTCGACACTGTAATTTCGAACGCCATTCGACACTGTAATTTCGAACGCCATTCGACACTGTAATTTCGAACGCCATTCGACACTTGAATTTCGAACCGAATCATTTTGTCCGGCTTGTTGTTGTCGAACTTGTTCGGACGTAGATTGTTGAACTCTGGTGCTTTGCTCGATTCTTTACTGTCGAACACTTTATGAATTTTTTAATTTTTTTTTTCCCCCACATTGGGAAAGTTTATAATAAATTAATATAATCAGTTTGTCTTCATGAAGTCTTCTTGCCACCATATTTAATTGATTTGAAGATAAAGGAAAGTGTTTTACCCTATCAAATTCAGTACCTGTTTCCACCTTGAACCATTACAAAACTTTAAAAAAGGGTCTTGAGCTGTTTGACCACTGCCTCAATGTCAATTTAGAGAGAGAAGAGAACAAGATCCACCAGATATGCTTTTCCAGCCATTTTATTTTTTGTTCTAAATGTTTTTACAGTGTCTAGGCATCCTGTGGACCAATATTGCCACATTTTCAAGCTCCAGATAGATGTTATTGTTAACATAAGGCATCCTGCGGACCAATATTGCCACATTTTCATTATCAATACAATCAATCAATAATATCAATAGATACATTTATTCTGTATTTCTCTCTTCATACATTGAATTTATCATGGTATCAGAGCGGGTTTAGAACCTAATATTTTCGCTTCACCGGCGGGCGGCAACCTCACCTTAGTCGCCCGCCGGACCTCAATCTAGTCTGCTAAAATTCTCTACACATACCTTCATTCTTCTTCACCACCTCGCCAAAGCAAACCCAAAATCCCTCTGGGAAATTTCGTCGAACACCATGTCTGCAACAATGATGGTTCAAAACACACACAGAGCACCCACCATGCTTCCATCTCCCTCTCCTCATCATCAATCACCGCCGCTGCTGTAGGCCCTGCTCCACTCATGGTGCATCCAAAAGCCCCAGCCTCCATGGCCGCCTTCTTCACCGCTTCCATCCCTGGAATCAACGGTGCCCTCCTCGGCTCCACCATCTTCTCCGACGGCCTCTACGACAGCTAGAAGTGGCTCTGCTCTTTGCGCTCGATCAGCGAGCTCGCACGGCCTACGCACCTCATGTCTGTCACCGGAAGCCTCGCCACTGCTTCCAGCCGTGACTGCTCACTGCCAAGCCACCACCGCACCGCTGAGACTTCATCGGCCTCGACCATCACCATACTGGTCGCGCCTTCTGCCCTAGCCAGGAAAGATTCTTATACATAACACACCCAGACACATGCATACAGCCATGCACGGGTTCTTTCTTGCTCTCTCTCTCTCTCCCTCACTCTCACAGCTTACAATACCAATACATGATTGATCACAACTCTTCTTCCAGTGTTTCCCATCATCGCCAAGCAACGTTCCGGATGAGGCATCATCGCCAGATGCCTCCCATCATCGCCAGATGCCTCCCATCAGTCGGTTTCCCATCATCATCACAATATCTCACAGGTGCCAAGTTTGAGTCAAGAACACGGTTCAAAACACCATCATCAGGGAAATATGCTCGTCCCTCACCATGTGCAGCCCATACACCTAGTGTACTGCCCTCCACTAGACCCCTTTTTTAATTATATCTATGATTCCCCTTCCTTTAACACCACACCTCTCTCTTCCTTTTGACAGTTTGAAAACACATGCCAATGCCCCCATCATTTTCCTTTTTTATATATCTATATTTATTCCACCACTCTCATCACACCCCCATTCGGTTCCCCACTCCTCCTTTTTATTTTTATTTTATGTTATGTTTTTACTTTATTCCCCCACTCTCACCACACCCCACTCTCTTCTTTTATTTAAACATATCAAACCCTCTCTCCACTCCTTTTTTATTATTTTTATTATGCACATACTCAGACTCCACGTGCTCTTTGACATTTTTTTTTTTTTTTTTTTTTTTTTTTTTTTACCTCCACCAACCCAATATATAAAACACAAGAAAAAAAAAAAAAAAAAAAACAACAACAACAACACAAACAAAAGAAACGAAGACGTGACTGCAACACCAAAACTTATTTTATTCATGTCGGGTTTCACCCGCTCACCATTTTACACCAAAAAAAAAAAAAAAAAAAAAAAAACCACAAACGACACAACCACACCCACAGTGGGATTTTCTTTTCCCTTCTCTACTCTACTGCAGGTCTCTTCTTCTTACTTTTATCTTGGGTGTCCCGTGCCAGTCCGGCCTCCGTGTTTTCCCCGCCACCGAGCACGTTCACTCCCCCATACTCCTCCACTGCAGGCATATGGCGGACCTCCAATCGAAACATAACGGTGGCCTTCCGCTTCAGCTCCTTGTTTTTCTGCCCTTAGCACGCTTATCTCTGCTCGCGCATCTTATACATGCGTGTGGAGCAGAGCCAGCTGGGAGTTTAATTGCTGCACCTCATTTGTCCTACTCTGCAGTCCGGTGCGACAAGTTTGTGACCGCCGTCATGGACTCCACACATGCCTTCAAAGTATACTGATTAGCCTCCACATCCGTTTGCACTACCATTTTTTTGCTCCACAGACCGCATCGAAAAGTTCAGCGAGCAACCCAGCAGTGTTTGTTGAGTTCACTGGCCAACCGCACAATTCTCTCTCCTGTGGACTCGTTGAGGTCGGGAAAGAGGGGTGAAGCAGCCGCGGGACGACGAAGCCATTTTCTGGGCAACAGCAAAACAGAGTGTTACAGACTATCTCTCTCAGCAAAACGACCTCTCTTTCTCAGCAAAAGAAGAATTTTTCAGAGTTTCTCTCAGTTTTTCTGTCTCAGTTTCTGCCTCCTCCGCTTCGGTTTAATAAAGACCATGACCAGAGACAGCCACACCGCATCGCGCGCCTCTTGACGCCGGACAAACCGGGACGCGCAGCAACGCACTCACGTGCCTCGCCATCATCTCTGGCACGCCTTTTGATGCATCGGGCACGCCTTTTTGGCACGCCTTTTGACAGATTGGGCACACCTACACCTTTTGAGGGCACGACTTTTGAGGGCTCGATATCTACATCCATGTATATTTTTTGGGCAGCCTATATACACACTCATACAGTGTCTTCTACACCGGTCAGCTTTCTCAATCCCTTTGTTTCAACCTCAAATCGGTTTCTATCTTCACACCTATTTGAGTTTGAGGGGGGGTTATACACAGTATCATGTTCAAGCCACCTCATGGCGCACTCCCTAAGTCGCCCCCTTGGTGAACCACCACAATTCTGCTTCAACGGTCCGACATGACCCCGTAAACTGTCTGCTACATCGGTCTGACACGACCATACCGTGTCTCCTATCCTGTTTTTATTTATCAGTTTACTTTCCTGTTTTGTTACTCTCTTCAAACTCAAGTTGGTTAGTTCCTATCCTCCTTGAGTTTGAGGGGGGCTGTTAATGTACACCTCCTACACCACTAAAACCTACCACTACCACTACACACCTCCACTACTCCTCACCCACTCCACCTACCACCTCCACTTTACCTACTACCACCACCCACTCTACACCTACTACTCCCAAAACCTCTCTATATATAGGACTTGTAATATACAGATACAAATATCAATATACACAACAATCTTGTATCAATACAATCAATCAATAATATCAATAGATACATTTATTCTGTATTTCTCTCTTCATACATTGAATTTATCAGTGGTGATGATGATGAAGAAGAAGAAGAAGATTATGTTGGTGATGATGGTGAAGAAGAAGAATATTATGATGGTGATGGTGATGATCCTTGATTCCATGCCCTTAGCTTTTCTTTGCCGTTGTTGTTGTTATGTTCACAGACTATCTCCAGGTGATCTTTCTTTCATTCATTGTAAATTTTCTCCCCACTCGAAAGCTTTTGTTGCAACCAATTTGTGCTAGGAACCGACTTTATGCAATTAAATTGTAATTAGGTTTCATAAACTCAGATCTCAATCTAACTCAACTCAACAAATTTGTCTACATCCCAATCCATTTGATTTGGTTTCAGGATAATTTGCAAACAAAAGTTTAATACCAATAAATTTCACAATAACGATATGGTCAAAAATCCTTTAAATTTTTCCTTCAAATTTCAGCTTAAAAGTTTGGTCACTTTTCAATTATTTTCTTCAACAATACTCTCAATTATTTCTTTCACAATTTGCAATTGTTCCTTTATACCATGGAACTTGTTTAGTTGAATTTTCAAAATATATTTTAATTTTTTCATTAAAATAAAAACTAATTTGATGAAAATAAACATCAATATTTTTCTTTAGAGTTTTTTTCACCCTCAAAAATATAAAATTTGAAAACTCTAGCAAAGAGGTGACATATTTGGAGGGAAATTCTGTTTCATCTCATTTGGCTCTCCAACCAACAACAACATCTCTCTCTCTCTCTCTCTCTCTCTCTCTCTCTCATAGTTGTTATGCTTTCTTGGCACATTTGTGTTAGTGAATTCAATCATTTAACAAATTTCTTCAAGAAGATCAAGTTCAGTGTCAGAATTCAATATACCCTTTTGAAGGTCTCTCTGCATTAGTAATTAACCTTTTTTGTAGTTAGGGTTATTATCCAAAGAAACAGAGTTTTGCCCCCCCAATATCTCACCATGAAATCTCACCACCTCTCTCTCTCTCTCTCTAGAATTGTTCTGACTCTAAATCCCTTATCTGATATAATTGAAAGAATATTGATGACTCTCTGCTTCTTGATCACTGATGTTTTCTGCAGAATTCTTGATTTCTTGTTCCTGAATGTTCTCAATTTCCATTCATGAATTTCATGCTTTCTTGATTTCTTGTTAGTCTGATATTATCACTCAATAATTTATGGGTTTTCTCGCAATCTTGGAAGGCGAAGCTTTGTGCATTCTAGGATCAATCTATCGCATATTTACTGGGTTATTTTTTATTCTCTCTTTTTTTACTTTTTATTTTTTATTTTGATTTTTAGTTTTCTCTCTTCTGTTCATTGCAAAATGGGATGTTTGTTTGCAATTTTTTGTTGGAAATATTTGTTTTACATTAATCTTTGAGTTGCATAAGCTTATTTTTCTTCTCTCTCTGTTTTTCTCAGTTTAAATAAATGTATGCTTGAGTTTAAAATTTTTAATGATATATATATTTATTTATTATTGAGTGTAATCCTAAAATTCTGACAATTTTTCAAATTTCTAGATCACATCATCTTTGGATTATCCTTCAATAGCTTTGAGCCAATCAAATGGAAAAGGTAGACGATCTGTGTTGTGCTGGTGTAGTTTAATATCATAATCATCATGAATCAATTTATATATGTTGTGTGTTGTCAATAAACTAAAGCTGTTGAATTGGCAGTATAAGCTGGGTAAGGTTATTGGAATCGGCGCCTACGGTATTGTTCACAGAGGTCTTAATCTCGAGACTAATCAAATTGTAGCTATAAAGAGATTTTATACTTTTGACTGCAAAAATGGTGTTCCATATACAACAATCCGAGAAATCTCCATGCTGATAGAGATGTATCACATAAACATTGTCAAGTAAGTTATTTCTTTGGAGTTTTGATTAAAAAAAACCCATTAAAAACCTGATCATTGTCTTTGTTTACTTCATATATTTCATTATATACTTTCTTAATAGAAGTTTGGTTAACAGGTTGCTGGATGTAATAAGCAATACTAAAAACGAATGGTATATCATTTTTGAATATTTGGACCTTGATTTGGAGAAATACATGGTGACTTATCTGAAGGATTCTATGGCTAAACACACAATAAAGGTGGTTGATAAATCTTTTCCATATTGTATTTTATGTATTGCTTGTTCAAGATTTAATTTTAATTTTTTTATTTTTTGCAGTATATTATGCATCAAATTCTTTCTGGTGTTATGTACTGTCATAAGCACAGAATTATGCACCAAGACTTGACGCCTGACAATTTGCTGATAGATCTCAATGCCTCTGTAGTGAAGATTGCAGACTTTGGAATGGCTAGGGCATTTGATTTTCCTCTTAGGGCATATAGTCCCGAGGTATTTCATTTTGCCTGGAGAGAAGTATATCCAATTTAGTAATTAGTCCTTATTAGATGGGTTTGGAGGGGGTAGATTGGATAGAGACTTAACCGTTGACATAAGTCACAAAAAGTGTCTGTCGTTAGCACTTAAATTGTCTGTTTATTTCTTTTTCTAATCCTCAATGATTTCATCTATTTTTTGCGTTGTCAGAATACTTTCACCATGGATGATGTTCACATATGAATTTTCTTTTTCTTTTCATTTGTCTGGTGTTATGTACTGGTTAATACAACACTTAAAACTGTTAATCAAGGAATTTTGATCTTCATAAAACATGACTTCGTTGAGTGATGAAAAATGTGTTTCACGGTTTCAGCAACCCTGTTTCTTTTATTTTCTTGTTTTGGGCCGTAAAATGTAGTTGAAACTTTGTTTTCTTCGCATTTCGATCTTTAAATTTCAATTACTGTTTATGAATGTAATACAATTGGTTATTTTCTTCTTCAGGTAGTAACTATATGGTACAAAGCACCCGAAATCCTCCTTGGCTCCCCGGTATACTCCATGGCTATCGATGTGTGGTCTGTTGGCTGTATATTTGCCAAGATGCTTATGCGTCAGAATCTGTTTGCTGGTGCCTCCAAGAATGAACATCTCCGTAAAATTTTTAGGTGTGAACAAGGCTTGCAAATGCATTTATTTTGCACACATTTCATTTTTCTTTTTCTGCTACAATCATATTTATGTTCAGTTTCCTTTATTGAAGCATTATGGGGACACCAAATGAGAGAACATGGCCGGGAGTGACCTCACTACCGTATTACCCTGCTGGTCTTCCCGAGTACTATCCTGAGGCAATATCTATAATTTTCGCTTCAATTTTTTTTATTTTGCAAGTCAAGTTAGTAAATTTGTAACACCTTTCCCTTTCTTCTATGCAGAATCTGGCAGAATTTTTTCCTGATTTAGAACCAGCCGGAGTTGATCTTCTTTCTGTAAGTTGTTGCTGCTTTCAAATGTGTTTTTTTGAGAACAATGATTTGAAAAAACGTTTTCCATACATGTGTGACAGCTTTGTTTTGGATAACAATGAATCATATTATATTACTCAGTCCATATCCATCTTTCACCCTTTAGTTGAACTGTCCTCTCTAGTGTATCATCTTCTTTCAATTGTCTCTTTCCATTTTTTCCTTTTATCGTTGTTTTGCTTGTGCTTCGTTTATCATTTTCTGGCATTTGGTGTAATGAGAAATGATAGTCAACTGAAAACTTTTGATGTGGTTGACAGAAAATAGGTTTATTTGGACAGAAAACATTTTTTATTTTAAAGTGGAAAACGTTTTGTGTTTTATAGAATGAAGTCCTACCACCACTATCACAGCTGACACTGCCACTACTCCATCACCCCACCACTGCAGCCCCACCATGCCAATGCCACTAGAACATTCGTTTCAAATTCACAACTAAACATTCACAAAAAATGTTTTCTGAATAATGTTCTTTGTGGGAATTTTTTTTTGCTGAAACAAACACAGCATTAATTTGTGTACTTTCTTTCTTGGCAGGAAAATGTTTTCTGCTGAAAGACTTACTTTTTTTTTTTCCTTCTTATTTTCCTTCACTTGTTTGGACCATGTACTTTATGTTAATTTTGCCCATTTTCATCCAGGAAATGCTCTGCATGAATCCAGCTAGAAGAATTTCAGCTCGTCGTGCACTTGGGCATGCATACTTCAAGAAGAAGAAGAGGAAGGAGAAGAAGGAGAAGAAGATGACGATCCTTGATCCCATAGAAGAAGAAGAAGAAGATGATGATGATGATGATCCTTGATTCCGTGTCCTTCACTTTTGTTGTTGTTGTTGTCATGTTGACAGACTATTAACTTCTAGGATTGAATTTGAGCTAGGTAGGTTATCTTTTTTTCATTCATTGTAACTTCGCTTATTTGGTTTCAAGAAACATTATAGTGTCCCTTAAATTGCCTCTTTGCTGTTGTTTTTGTTTTTTGTTTTTGTTTGGTAAATTGTTCCTAAACTAAAAAATCCACTTTTTATGATACACCAAAGTTAAATTTGAATTTCTGAAATATGTTTTTATACAAAAACAATATGAAAATAATGAAATTTTCATACTTTTTATTGTTTGTTGTTTTAAAAAATATGAAAAACAAAAACAAAGGAAAATAAAAATGACAACAAGCAAGCATGAGTCAATATTTCGGTTTACTTGGTTTCTCTCTCTAGGGCTAACTACATTTAGGATAAATTGAAGTAAGACAGTTTAAAAAAAAAAATTACACCGCATTAGATAATTTTATTGATACAACCTTGACACGTAAGAAATCTTGCTCCAAACATAAGGTATACTTGCATCTCATGAAAATGAAATTTTTTTCCATTGTGCCACTGATTTAAAACTGCCCCTTATATTTATCACTATATATTTTTCCTGTTAAGAGACTATATCGAACCTACTATTTTCAATAAAACTCAACCTCCTATTTTTTCTTAAAATTTTATTTAAAAAGTGGATTTGTTCAACTAAATTATTCAATGGTACACTCAATTATTTCTGTGTCCATTTAAATGTGTTCTTTTAAACTATGAAACTTATTTGATTGAGTTTCAAAGTTTGTTGTCTGATATTTGAAAAAAAAAAAAAAAAAGAAGAAGAAGAAAGAAAGAAAGAAAGAAAGAAAGAAAGAAAGAGGTAACATTTTTGGTTTGATAAAAATAAGCACAAATAAATGATTTTAATCCCTCAAAAAAGGAAATTATATAAAAATATAAGTATTTTTCATTTACATTTTAGTTTGATGGGAACCTTTTACTAGTTCTTTGGAAAAAAAAAAAAAAACAGAAAATAAAATTTGAAAACCCTAGCAAAGAGGTAACATTTTTGGTGGGAAATTCTGTTTCATCTCATTTTGGCACTCCAACCAACCAACCAACCACCTCCCTCTCTCTCTCTCTCTCTATATATACACATAATTTCTCTCTCTCTCGCTCTCTCTCTCTGTATACATACGTTTCGACACATATGTTTGAATATATATATATATATATAATGTGCATGAATTTATCAAGTTCTGTGCATTTTGATTGAGAGGGAGATTAATGATATGGAATTGGGCCAGACAGATTTGGGCCGGACAGAGTTGTGCCGGACAGATTTGGGCCGAACAGGTGCTGGGCCAAGTTGTGTGGCCCGGTCTCGAAGGAAGCTGCTCGGTTAAGGCAGCGCGTGGATTGACTGAGCTGCAAGGATCCGTGGTCACAAAACCGGCCAGGTGAAAAGTCCAGCGCCAGGAAAGGCAAGGTTGGACCGAGGTACCTGTTTGCTCAGCAGGTTGGACGACCGCAGACTAGCGTGAGTTGTCCCGAGCTAGGCTTTGCCGAGATGCCGCCGAGTCCGGTCCTCATCTGAGCTTAGCTGTTGGAGTACTTGGGCATGAAGCGCAACATGGCAGATGATGGCCGAGATGATACTGCCCGGCTGCCGAGCTCGCAGGAAAATGGGCAGGCAGTTGAGTTAGGTGGTGCTCAGCAAGGTTTATGCTGACAGATGGGATAGCAGTGCCACGTGTTGAGAGGTCACTGGGAGTAGATTTGGGGCGCAGAAGGTATATAAACATGTCTGCGCCCCCCATACGCGGACAGATGAACATTTGGTGAGACATATACTAAACACTCAACACTCTCCCTTCTCTCTATCTATCCCCTATGTGTGTGTTCTAACTTGATCGTCGGAGGGGTTTTCCGGCCACACACCGCCGGGTAGCTCACTGTCGTTGTGTACGCAGGTAATCGGACAGAGACAGAGCTCGGAAGAAAGGAGTACGGGCTTGCCGGAATATTTGCTCCCCGTATAATTGGCGCCGTCTGTGGGAACTTGACAGACAAAACCTTGTTTTCCAAGCTCATCTGATCGCCGTTCATGGCAAACAACGATGAGATTCCGTTGTCTGCCATCGACGGAGCCACCCCGGAGTTCATCCAACGGAGAGAGGGACATCCCGCCATCCTTCCAATGGCGGATCTGGAGACATTCCCCGGAGAGTAGTCGGGGGACTCGCGGGATAAGCGCGGGAGAAGTTATGGTCATTCGCGGAGTCCAGACGGTCATCGGCGGCGGATAGAGTCACACGCCAGACGTTTGGAACACAAGTTAAGGGACCAAGATGCCGTCATCCAGCGAATGGCGGCAGAGATGGAAGAGCTCAAGCGGCATGTCAAAGGGAAGGGTGTAGCTGGAGTGGGTGACCACAGTGAGTGCACCCCATCCTGCCGTTCAGACGGTCAGAGTCAGTGACGCACTCTGTCCATTTCTATTACCAGAAGTTACAAGGTTGGTGATTCCGACGTGCATGTAGAAAAGTCTAGCGCGCAAGATAGCACTTACCAGCCCTCACGTCCAGTGACGATGTCGAGGTACTCTTACTCCGCTCATTCAGAGGATTTGCGGGCGGTCTTAAAGAAGCGGGCTCGCCGGCGGGAAGCTCAGAGGATACCGGCGTTCCAGCAGTTATCCTACGGGGTTCATGCCAGCGAGGAGGTCGGAATGCCTCCACCCCGCCAAGCAGCGCCCCTCCTAGTGGATACAGATTTGGCAAGGTTGAGTGCAACCCCTTTCTCCATGGAAATAGAGACAACACCGCTTCCGGCAGGCTTCCACCAGCCAAAGTTCATGCTTTACGACGGGAAGACCGATCCCTACATGCATGTAAGTCATTTCCGACAGGTCATGGCTGGACATAGGCGGAATGATGCTCTTATGTGCCTCATCTTTCCGTCAAGTTTGGGCGAACTGGGCTTGAAGTGGTTTGAAAGGCTACCGGAGGGGAGTATTGAGAGGTGGCATCAGCTGGCCGAAGCCTTTGTCACGCGCTTCAAAACCAACACCAAAACACCAAAAGAAGTGGATCACCTACTGAGTGTCAAGATGGAACCGAGCGACACATTGAAGGCGTACAACTCTAGATATTGGGAGACCTTCAACGAGATCTTGGATTGCCCGGTCAACCTTGCACTCACTCAATACAAGCGTGGTCTCCCGGTCGGACATACACTGCGGGACTCGCTTACCATGCACCAACCGACGTCCATGGGCCAGCTCATGCAGCGCATCAATGAGCACATCCGAGTGGAGGATGATGCGTCAGCATCTACCGTGAAGGCAACTCCGGTAGTAATAGACAAGAAGACAACAGGCAAAGTGCACGCAGTTGGGCAAGAGTCCAGCCGCTCAAATGACCGAGCAGAGGAATCAGACCGAGGTTCAAATCGTAAAAACCGGGGTAGAGGACGTCGGAATGACCGGGATGATTACCCCCGAGATGACGTTGAGGACGCAAACAGAAGAATGAAGGCAAGGACTGGCATAACCACGGTCTTCAAGATTCCAATCTATCGCATACTTAGTGAAATCCGAGACGAGGAGTATGTCCGGTTTCCTTCTAAGTTGGGCGATGGACAAAAGGGCTTCAATCCGCGGTATCGTTGCATATTTCATCGGGAGCGAGGCCACCGGACTGAGGATTGTTTGCCTTTGAGGCAACACCTGGAAGAGCTAGTCGCGGCCGAACACCTAGACCTTTACATTGATGGGGGCGTAAAGGCGAACCAGGCTGCGGTTGAGCCCAGGGGACATGATGACTGAGATACGCCACCACAAGGAGTTATTAATGTCATCCACGGCATAGTGGAACCAGAGCGTGTTTGCGAACTCCGGGGTATGATAAAAAAGGCAGAACATATGAGAGAGGTTTTGTTGGTACAGCCTGCCATCAAGAGGGGAAAGACCGTAGAGAAAGATGTGATCAGTTTCACCTCAAGGGATCTAGAGCGCATTCAGACGCCGCACAACGATGCCTTAGTAGTAACACTCCGCGTCAAGGAATTCAATGTCAAACGGATCTTGATCGATCAGGGAAGCTCGGTTGAGATCATGTATTACGACGCGTTCAAGCAGCTCAAGCTCCGAGAGATAGACTTGGCTCCGGCAACTTCGCCACTGGTTGGTTTCAACTCGCAACCGGAGTGGCCTTTGGGAAAGATTATCCTGCCGGTCAAAGCGGGATCCGTGGTCAAGCAAGTGGAGTTCTGGGTGTTACAAGTTCCTTCTACTTACAATCTAATCCTTGGAAGGGGATGGCTCCATGCCATGCAAGCCGTAGCATCGGCTTACCATCAGGTGATGAGATTCCCCTCAGCTATGGGGGCAATCGAGGAGATATGGGGAGATCAAGTCATGTCCAAACAATGCTTCGTGACAGTAAACGGGAGCCGTGCTGCCAAAGGCTTCGTTCAAATGATAGAAGGACCGGAAGACCGGGGAGTTCTTGATGATGTGGGCACCAAGGCAGAGGACAAAGCTGTTGAGGAATTGGTGGAGGTGCGAGTTGATATAGAGCGGCCGGATAAGTTCTTCCTGCTCAGTTCCAGCCTCACGGCCCAAGAAAGGACCGAGATGGTTGAGTTTTTGATGACCAACATCGAAGTCTTCGCATGGTCGCCTTACGATATGCCCGGCCTCGATCCAAGTTTTATCTGCCATCACCTCAATGTCTTCCCCGGAGCAGGTCTACGGGACCTCTCCCTCCCCTCAGGAAAAGAAACAGAGAAAAACCGAGTCTGGTTCGCAAACCGAGACAAGGCACAGAAAAGGGTTCGGAAGTCCGGAGGCAGGGCTCACGGCCGCGACTCTGAAACTTTTGAACAAGCACATTATGGAACATCACCAAGCGCTCAATCGGTGACATCTGAGTCTTAAGGTCGGTCAAAAATGGGGTGTCTACAGTTTGTGTCGATTACAAGACAGTTAACCGAGCTTGTCCGAAGGATAGCTTCCCTTTGCCCCGTATTGACCAGCTTGTGGACTTCACGGCTGGACATAATCGGCTCAGCTTCTTGGATGCCTATCGCAGCTACCACCAGATTGCCATGAATGGGCCCGACCGAGAGATTACTTCCTTCACG